AACTTCAAATATGGAACTACACATTAAGAAACAAGCTAAAAAACACATGGTGTTAAAAACATTTTGTGGGGCTCCAGGCTGGCCCGGTCTAGGGTGATGGAAGACCGAGTTAGTCAGACACACTAGATTGTGCGTTTCAAAGAACTCAAAAGACTTTCTAGTAGAATGGACGTGGGAGTCAAGGAATGGAACATCTTTGAGAACTGAGTTGCCCAGGGATGGAGAAAACAGAGGGACATCCAGGTAGGAAAGTCAGTTCCCTTCTGGACACATTCATTGAGTAACTATTAGATATGGAACTGGAGGATACAGAAACCTGCCCCCCCAAATCCTTTGAAAATTGGCATGCTTTCCAATTATTATCAACTGTTTCTTCATCTAAGCAGTTAACACTTGTTCATGGTTTTTCTTGAAGGTCTCATTCTGTTGCCCGGGCTGGAATGCGGTGGCGGGCTCACAGTGACCACAGCCTCAACCTGCTGGGCTCAGGCGATCCTTCTGCCTCAGCCTTACAAGTAGCTGTAGCTGGAACCACAGGCACATGCCACCATGCCCGATTAATTTTTCTTGATTTACTGTAAATACAAGGTCTTGCCATGTAATCCAGACTGGTCTCCAACCTGTGGGCTTAGGCAATCCTCTAACTTCCACCTCCCGAAGTGCTGGGATTATAGGTGTGAGCCACCACGCCTGGCCGTTTCTGCCTTTGTAAAGTGGGGAAATAGAGATTCACCTGAAGAGTTTATGTTAGAAATGCACTATTCAGAAGGGTCCTTTCAATCACTAGGAGCAACATTGTGTAGAGCTCCACCAGACTTCCCGGGGCCCACTGCTACTAATTCCATTCTAGAAGCTCACTTAGGCATGTCTGTAGAGCAGAGTACTCAGCAGAACACTCCACAAAAACCTCCGTGCCCACCTTGTAGTAAGCACTCTGTAAATGATGGATGTTTGTTAATTTTCTTTAGCCTTGGTTACAAGTGAAAAGAAACTAGCCAAATATGTGTATAAGAGAATTGATCAGTTGAGTGGAAAGTTCAAGGTTGAACAATAACTTCAAAGACAAATGTGTTCAGGGATTCATATGTGAGGATTCTGTGTCCTGAGTATCTCTCTCATGCCATCAAAGGAATGTCCTCCTGCGATGGTGAATCCCAGGAGGAGACATCACTTTCCCAACACCAAAACATAATGCCAGGTCTTGAATGAAATGCCTAACCTTAGATAGAACTAAGAATCTCCTCTGCACCTCCGTCTGGAGCATCTAGCATTGGCTGGTACATACGAAGGGACTGCTGGGCTGACAAGAACGTTCCTTCCTCATCTGCAGTCTTTTGAGTTAAATTTCAAAATATTTCCCCCAATTCATACAAGATAGCTGGCCAAAGTTACAATATCTAAAAACATTACACTGAAATACTAAACATATTGCATTACAAAGAATTACAAATTTAAAGTATAACATCCCAACAACCACAGTGACTAAAGAAAATAAAACCAAGTTTTTCTCTTAATCTACATTTGAATTAGAGCTTTATACCTGATAAACCTCAGACTAAATCTGGCTACCCAACTGGTAAACCTTACTTGAACTCAAGTTTCTAGTTTAATTCTGGAGTTTAAAATTATATCATGCCTTTTACATTGAGATGTTTATGTCAAGCATTATATTGAAATCTTAATTGCATGAGGCTGTTTCTCATGCTCATAAGGGGGTTGCCTAAATGTACTTGCCATACCTGTATCTAAGCCTCAGAATATATACAAGATCTTTCTCATTTCCATTTTAAAGACAGTTATCAGCCTAGTTGATGCTGTTTACCATTATTTGAAAACTGGGGTTAAGGCCAGGCGCCGTGGCTCAAGTCTGTAATCCCACCACTTTGGGACGCTGACGAGAGAGGAGTGCCTGAATTCAGGGGTTCAAAACCAGACCGGGTAACTTGGTGAGACCTCATCTCTACAAGTAGTAAAAAAATAATTACCCAGGCATGGCAGCACACACCTGTAGTTCTAGCTACTTGGAAGGATGAGGCAGAAGGATCGCCTAAGCCCAGCAAGGCGAGGCTGTGGTGGCCATGAGAGTGCTACTGCACTCCAGTGTGGGCGAGAGTAGCCTTCAACTCAAAAAAACAAAACTGGGGTAAAAATGTAAAGATTCTACGCGAGGGGAAATTTAGGTATTTATAACTACCCATTGAAATTTTAGGCGTGTCTCAGGATATCAAGACAGTAAACATCATTACCAAAAAATACTATATTTGAGGACCAGAGGACAGGCAAATCAAGCTCTTTAATCCCATTAACCTGATTTATCGTGGTTATTACATTCATTTTACCCCCCAAAAGAATTTAACCTGGATAGAATTTAGATCTGAGAATTTTGATGGGGAGTATGTTACTTCGTCTTCACCAACATTTAATGAAATTTATGAGCATTTCCTTCATTATTCCAGTCAACAAAAAATAGTATTTCACAATGTTCATCAAAGTACAATTTAAATCAGATTACTTGGCAGGCGAGGTGGCTCATGCCTATAATCCCACCATTTTGGGAGGCCGAGGTGAGAGAATTGCCTGAGCCACAGGTTCAAGACCAGCCTGAGCAACTTGGTGAGATCTCATCTCTACAATAAATTAGCTGAGCATGGTGGTAAATGCCTGCTGTTCCAGCTACATGAAAGGCTGAGGTGGATCACCTGAGCCCAGCAGGTCGAGGCTGTGTGGCCATGAATGTGCCACTGCACTCCAGCCTGGGCGGCAGAGTGGGACTCCAAAAACAAAATTAGATTACTGTTGCAAACCTCAAAGTATCATGCATGCAGAAGTCAGACTCACCACTAGACCTCATTTAACATTTAAAGCATGTTAGTAACAAACCTAACATTTGGTATTTTCATGTAATGTTTAACTCTACCTATTTCACACAGATAAAAATCACCAGCATAAGGGGTCTGTTGGCATTTACCAACCTGCCAACACTTAAAAAGCCAAGAACTTGCTCAAATAGTTTTTGAGTTCTGTATCTTAATTTTTTACTGCTAGTCAAAATGTTATAAAATCAGACTAACAAAAACTTACTTGCATTTTATTTCAGTACCTATTAAAATGATGGCAGTAAGACAGCTGAGATTACCTCCAATAGATTTTGACGCATTTCAAAGGATGCAAGTTTAGTCAACACTTGACAGTAATACCATGTATTAAAAAATCAAAACTACCTGTACTGCAGCTGCCATAGCTTAACACTTGACAGAATTCATTTGTGAATTAGAAAGGCTGTATCTATGGATGTAGTGAATTTAACTATTTCATATCTTAGCTGTCAACACTCTTGTAACATTTACTATTTCTTCACCGACTAACGACAAAGTTGAACAGTAGATGCTAATCCCCATTTCCTAGCTGCCTTTCAGAACTGTATCTATTTAACCTCTACCAACCACTTGAATGCACCTTTGCCATTACCTGATGGTAAGGTCTTTGAAAATGTAATAAGCAAAAATGGAAATGATTCAACCTGACAACTTATTTCCCTCCCAAATCTTGATATTGTATATTCAACCCAAAGTTGAATCAACCCAGTGTGCAACAGAAACCAGTCACAAGTTGAATGTCTTTAAGGCTCAAATTTTACCTCATTTCCTGAATACTTTTGTTTTCACTGAGAAAACAAGGGTAAATGTAACTTGCTGGAAATGAAATCCACTCATTCTATATCAAGACCTAAATATTAAACTGAAATTAAGATGCCCAACTCTTTGATTACTTAATTGCACAGAAACCACTGCATACGCTATCAGAAAATTTGAATACCAGCAAAATGGGTTGTAATTGTTAGAAATAACTAGCCAAAAAGCCTCACTTGGCTTCATCTAAGTATTTCACTTAAAAAGATCATACAGGAAGGTTGGGCATGGTGGCTCACGCCTATAATCCCAGCACTTTGGGAGGCCGAGGTGAGAGAAATGCCTGAGCCCACAGGTTCAAGACCAGCTTGGGCAACTTGGTGAGACCTTGCCTCTACAATTAAAAAAACAAAACAAAAAAACTAGCCAGGCGTGGTGGCATGTATCTGTAGTTCCAGCTACTTGGAAGGCTGAGGCGGATCACCTGAGCCCAGGTTAAGGTTGTGGTGGCTGAGCATGCCACTGCAACCCAGCCTGGGTGAACAGAGATGCCAACTAAAAAAAAAAAATCATACTGGAAAAATTCATGTAATAGCTATTAAAAGGCACAGTGGCTCATGCCTGTAATTCTAGCACTTTGGGAGGCTGAGATTAGGGAACACAGTGAGACCTTGTCATTACAAAAAAAAAAAATCAAAAGTTAGTCGAGTAAAGTAATGATGCATGCCTGTAGTCCCAGCTATTTGGGAGACTGAAGCAGGATCACCTGAGCCCAGGACAAGGCTGCAGTGAACAAGGATCATGCCACTGTACTACAGCCTGGGCAAAAACAAGACACTGACTCAAAAAAAAAAAAAAAATTATAAACACAACTTCTTACAGCTTCAGTTGTCAACCATTACCTATAAATTTACCAAGCCAAACAGCTGACCATTAATCACATCCTTTTTTCTTGGGTTGAACAGCAGTGGTTTCAGACTGTAATTTTATGAAAACCATCTCCAACTCACCCTCACCACACAATGTTCAACCAATCCACTCTCAAGAAACCAAGTATTTCCAACATCTGGCAGCACCCCCCCCCTTTTCTCCACTTACTCATTTCACTAATTCACTCACATCACCCAAGAACCTCATGCATTCTGTTCAAGACCTAAGTCCTTTTAAGTAACGTAGTGATAAACTTTTACAAATCTTCCTTCCATGTCTACTTCTCATGATGGTTGTTTACCATTTAGCAGGATCCACATCTTTTGAAGTAACTGATCAAGGCCCACTCCAAGTTTCCCGTTTTATTACAGTGAACTCAGTCAAAATATTCACCTAGTGTTTAAGTCACATGGACATTGTGAAGTGATAAAACAACACACACACTTCTAAAAATATTTTAATGAAAAAGTTATCTTTCTGTAAACATTTCATTATACTACAAATGAAACACTTGAATCCATTACAGACCACCTCCGAAGTCTTAAAATCAGAGTAAAACATATTGAGGTTTGAAAGTAATTGAGTATTTAGACAAGCTAACAATCCTTACATCACCCTGAACAGGAGCATGCTTATTCACTATTTTGTGACTTCAATTACTGGAACTCCAAGAGATACGGTCATTAATTCGAAATGTTTCAAATTGTGACTTACACTGGAACTCTTAAAAGCAAGCCTATTTCAATTAGTTTCTTAACAAATGGACTTTATTATCACGTAAACATTCTCCTTTAGAATATAAGTGTAAATTCAGCTTTTTAATATATTTTATTGGAAGCAATTAGCCTACAAATTAAACTGGTTTAACAAAATCAGTTAAGAGGTCTGTCTTAACCACTTACCATTTATATAACAATTTTCCTTTCCTTGTTTACTGGTGCTACAAGTTAATATTGCGTTTAGGTAAGACAATGGAACTATGTTTAAATAAATCCATTTTATTTCATAAAGAAATTGACTACAAAGAACACCGTATGAAAATGTTTCCTTAGGAAATTTGCTTCACTAAAACCCATACTGTGAAGGAAATATATCATTAAAAGGCTGTTACCTTATTCAATACTTCTGTAATGTGTAGAAATTAGTCCTGATTTAGACTCACAGACCCAACCATTTTTCTGAGAACACTCTAAGGCAAGCTGACTACACGTGTTCATGTAGGAAATGGATTCATTTTTAATGTAGAAACTAGTTTGTATTTTGAGCATCTGTCTCCCAAGTGTTTAATCTCAATCACTAACAAGCCCCTTAGGGGCAGCAAAAACAGCCCTTATGAACAATCAGCAACTGTTATGAATAGTAATCATTCTTCGGGAAAAGGTCTTTTTACAAAGAAGCATTAATGTAATTAGGACCCTGATGCTTCTGGTTAACAGACTAAACATAAGAAACCAAAATGTATTCTATTGGTCCAACTAATTCCCTGAATTTATATGCAAGTGAACATATATATATGGACACTTGAAGGAAGACTATTTTTATATTGTCATCTGATAATGTTGAAAATTCATTTCAGACGTCTTTCCCAGAAAGAGGATTGGCAGCTTGAAGAACCTATTGTCATGCTTATTAGAAAACCTATTTTCACAAAAGCTGAGGCTACTTGCTCTTTCCAAAAACCGATTTTACCCACAAGACACTAATAATGAACTGGATACAAGAAAAAGGGCCACATTTGACTCAAGATGAACACTCACGGCTTTTTGCTGGGGAGTTTTTAAAACTAAGGTTTAAAATGTGTTGGATATGGTACCAAGATAGTTTTCAGATGAAGAATTTTGTCAATGTACCTACTAGAGTGGGACAAAGTTTTAAAATATGTAATATAGATATGTAGGGAATACAAATGATGTCATCAGGTTTTACTGTGAACTACAAACCTTACCCAGCCAGAAACCTTCGTATTTAAGATGGTAGGAAAGACATTCCTCATTTAGGCAAGTAGGGTTCTCATTCAACCTGCAAATCAAAAAGATTACTCTTACCTTGCTTTACAAAAAATTACTCTTTAATTAGTGAAAAAAATCAAATTCAAGCCTTACCTAATGCAATTATTGCCCTTCCTTGCAGGTCTAAATGCTAGACCTAGTGACTGTGGCAACTATCTCTCATTGATGTTCCAAAAGGCGAAGAGCTCCTTCCTGCTAGACTTTCTTCGATATTTCAGTTGTAATAAGCAGATTTAACTAGCTTTTGGAAAGTTGCTCACTATCATCATAGTATCTTATGCCTCCACTTCTCTGTAGTTGAAGCTCTTGCTGCTGCCTTGTCATTCTTTATTTATGCTGACTTGTCCATACTCAAAAGGCTGCTGAAGTCCTGTCTTAGTGAGTTTCCTTTGATCCACATTGTGCTTAAAAAGCACATCTTACGTCCTTTAAAGCTGGTTAAATCGCTCTCCTCATGGCTTACTTTTCCACACTGTTCACAAGAGCTAAGCTAACAACTTATAAACAGGTCACATACACAGATTTACCTGCTTATAGGTTGCAAACATCAACTTACTCAAAATTTTACTTTTAAACTAGTTCCAGAACACAGAAAGTTGGTTAACAGTACAATTAACCTCATATGCCATTATAGGATACTGTCAAGGTTGTGTCAAACAATTTCACAAACATAAAAACAGGAAATGTCAATCTCCCCCATTCCTTTAACCTTTATTATATGAATAAAAGAACTTGAGACAATTTAGCTCAATTTTAATAAATGTTTCCCAAGCATTATTTTGACCAGATACCCAGGTTTAAGTTATGAACATTGACAGTGTCCATTTATATAACCACACTTGAAGTTGTTATTACGGACTTAACCATTTTCTAATATTAGCCTATTTTCTACACTGCTTATTCACATATATGCCCATTAACAAATGGAATGTCTGTTACATTTATTGGTTTGTGAGTGTTTCTGGAAAACTGTAGTATGTGTGAAGACCAATTTCCATGCTGGCATTGCATGCATCCAAATATTAATAATGCACAGAGGCACAGAATTAGAGCAACAAGAGAGCATATTCAAACAACTAGCATACCCCATCCCCCTTTTTATTGCTTGTTTTGCTTAGTACTTTTTAAAACAAAAATAAGAATCTTGAATTCAACGTTCAACTGCCAAGGAAAGAATAACAGCAGGGCACATACTTAGGGCTCAAATGAAACTGTAAGCACTAGCTGGCGCAAAACAGTAGACATTGTTTTATATATATATTATATATATATATATATATGACCTTATCTAAAACTCTTTCCAACCAGGGCCATCGAAACAAATTCCACACCAACATGATTTATGCTGAAATATACACAAGGAATAACAGTGTTCTTTGGAAATTTAAGTAAGAACTCAGACTATCCAAATTTGAATTCAGGTCTGTAGGAAGTGAGACACTTGTACTAAGCAACTGTGCTACATTTTTGCTGCAGTTATTCTGGAAGATTACACCTAGACTATCCTTGGTTTCATCCAGCAAAATGTATAGGGTACAAACAGGAAAGCATGCCAGCCAGTTAGGGGTTTAATAATGCATGATTTTTATTCTCTTGCTCGGACATTTATATATATATATTAAAAAAAAAAAAAAAAAACTAAACCAAGGGAGATAACTGAAGATATATGGGCCTCTTGTGCTTTCAAAAGGAAAAAAGGTACCCACTAATTTGCTCATATCTAGCCAGCTTAGTGGTCCTATTATTTCAAAAAGGTTTTAAGAATAGTTTTTAATGGAGGAGGAGGAGAAAACATCCACTAGCTCTTTTCAGAATTTAAATAGAGGGCAGTAAACATTCTTTACACCCAAAAACTATGGCAGCAGTTCAAATGTGAACAAGGTAAATGTAGAATGTAGATGTTCTAAACACAGCTAGGACTCAGTAAATCTAACACACTAAAATCATATGATTACATTTTAAAAGAAAATGCACAAAAACCAAATAGGAATTTTGAGATTTTTTTCATTTGAAGGTAATCTTAATGCTATTAAATTCACAAATATGCTAATTTAAATACCCAATCCTATTTATCTAAAACACACATTGCAAACATACAATTATCTATTCTCTCCACATGTCAGCGCCCATTCATATCATGGTTTGGAAATGGGGAGAATAGATTCCCCTTAAACTGCAAGTCAGCAGGTGTTTCTTTACAGTTAACTTTAGCAAAATACATACAAAATAGTAATAACAATGATCTTCTTTACTTGTTAACTCACAAGGAAACACCTTCAAAACTGCATTTTGTTAAAGTTTCTGTACTAAAATGTAGAAAAACTGAACTACACAAATATTGAAAAGTTAAAAATTCCTTAATTTTTTATTCCTGGTACCACTACCACAATTTACAGGGCAATATACCTGATGTAATGAAAAGAAAAAGAAAAAGACAAAGCTACAACAGATAAAAGACCTCAGGAATGTACATCTAATTGACACTACATTGCATTAATCAATAGCTGCACTTTTTGCAAACTGTGGCTATGACAGTCCTGAACAAGAAGGGCTTCCTGTTTAAGCTGCAGTAACTTTTCTGACTATGGATCATCGTTCCTTCTGTGGCAGATTTTTACAGTTCCTCTAACGCATTTGGGACGACTGTCTCAAAGTAACCTGCAGCTTTCCTGACAACTCCTCGCTCTCTCTCCTGCTAAGAACTGTAGCCTGTTGAATAATACAGGATAAAAAAATTATTACACTCAGTGAACAGTTCCACATATTCTTTATCATCATGATAAAAATTTAGAGATACCTACCCTTTTTTGCTGTTTTTAGAACCTTCTGCTACCATATCCACCACTTCCACCACCAGATCCATAACCACCTAAAAAATAAACATTAAGTGTTAAAGAGGCATACAAACAAGTTTTTCAATGAACGACTCTAAAGAATCCTGATTTTTAAAAAATTACTTACCACCATAGGGACTGCCCGAGCTTCTTCCACCAAAACTGCCCCCTTTCATGGGTCCATAATTTGATTGCTGTTGTCCACTATAATTTCCAAAATCATTATAGTTCCCACCACCACCATAGTTACCTGAAATCAGAAAGGTTTTATTTGTAGTTTAACCACACAATAACCACTTTCCTCTTTTACTATAACTATTTTGATTATACTCATATGAGCTACCAAACTCCCTTCCCATTACTAACCCAGAGGCCTCCTAGAGTAGTAGAGGAGAAAACAAAAGTGAAAGGTCACCAGAAAACCATGTTTCTATTTCTAGGTAACTGTCAGATGTCAGGTACTAGAATATCCCCGTTTTGTTTATTAGATATCATACCCCTAAGCTCCTATCACTAATATCAAAATTGCTAGTGTTTCATTCACTATGATTCCGATGCAGTGTAACTTTTAGAACAATCACAGAGCTGGGTATGGTGGCTCATGTCTGTAAACCCAGCACTTCGGGAGGCAAGGGCAAGAGGACTGCCTGAGCCCAGAGGTTCGAGACCAGTCTGGGCAACTTGGCGAGACCTCGTCTCTATAATAAATCAAAAAAACCAGCTGGGTTTTGTGGCATGCTCCTGTAGCTCCAGCTAGGATAGCATAAGCACAGTAGGTCAAGGCTGCAGTGGCTGAGGGTGAGATTCTGAGCATGGTTGACAGTGAGAATCTGACTCAAAATCTCAAGTTCCTTTGTTAACCTAGATGGCACCCTGTTAATGCCAACAACTGAGTATTTGAATAATTCAGAGTTCTTATTTGTTCAGTTTAAAACTGCCTAAGCTAGGTACAATTCTGGCAAAAAAAGATTACAGATCTCTCACATGTAAAGTATGCATTACATACAGGTAAACGTTCATTTTAACTACACAAAAATAAGATTTAAGCACATTTTACCAACTTAACAGCACAGCAAAGTTAAGAAAATTCAGTTTACTCACCATGAGTAACAAAATTTGACCAAATACTAATTTTTAACACTATTTTCAAGCATATGTAATAGAAATGTTAGCAATACTGAATATTTAATATTTAAATAAAACAAGTAAAAGCTTACCACCTCCAAAATTTCCTCCTTCATTGTAACCATCATATCCTCCACCACCGCCACCATATCCACCACCTTGGTTTCCATATCCTGGTCCACCACCACCATAACCCCCTCTACTACTGTATCCAGGACCACCGCCATAGTTGCCACCTTAAAAAAAAAAAAGGGCACACAAACACATCATAAATGTATAAAGGGTCAAGTCATTCAATTTCTTTTCTTCTTCTTTTTTTTTTAAGAGATGAAGGAGGCCTTACTCTATTGCCAGACTGGAGGGCAGTGTCGTGCTATCACAGCTCACCGTAACCTTTAATTCCTGGGTTGAAGCAATCTTCCCACCTCAGCCTCCAGAGCAGGCTGAATATGGACTACTCAATTCTCGATTTGTATTACAGTTAGGTCACTGGCAAATAAGCCAGTAAGTTAACTGAACATTGAGTCTGGTATATATAATACCTAGTCAATAGGAACAGTAAGTACCTTGACTAGTAAGAATTTTTAAAAAATTCTTTCTTTACCTCTGGTATTAAAAAGACAAGTAATTTTTATTATATAACTAAAACCTCAGTGAAGATAGTCTCAGACTTAAAACAAGACTCAACAGCTGGTACAAACCTTATTGGTCAAAAAAGAATAGCTAATATTAAATCCCCAGAGTCTACCCTTCCATGGCACTGGTTTGGAAGTAAATCTTAACCACAAGCTTTTCAAGTTTCAACTTTTTAGTTACACTTTAGGTGTAACAAATACTTAATTTTCAATAAATACTCGAAATATTAATTAAAAAAAAAACCTACCATCACCTCCAAATCCATTATATCCACCATCACCTCCTCCATAACTACCTCTGCTGCCACCACCTCCACCACCATAGCCTCCTGAGGAAAAGATATGAATTTAAATTATATACTCAACTTACCATAAAATTTTAGGTACTCGTACACTTAGAAATAAACATCCTACCTCTTCCGCCAAAGTTTCCACCACGGCCAAAATTACCTCCACCACCTCCAAAGTTTCCTCCACGACCCATAAAATTGCCAGATCCACCTCCACGACCTTTAACACAGGCAAGGAAGATTTTTAAGAACATTACAAACACCACTCACATGCATTGTGTTAAGTTTGCATGGTCCTACTCACCTCTTTGTGATCCAGCAGACTGCATCTCTTGTTTCGAAAGGGCCTTTTTCACTTCACAATTATGCCCATTAATAGTGTGGTATTTCTGAACTAAAATTTTTTTAATCAAACAAACAAAAAGTTATTTTATGTTTGGAAAAGCACATACAAATGATATCCTGTCATTATGTAACATTACAACATTATCAATCAGGAAGTGACTTTGGGGACGAGGGAATGTTCTGAGATGTTAATGTTTATTTCTTGATCTGGATGCTGGCTACACAAATGTCTACACTTTATAAAAACTGACAGTATACTTTATATTCTATTACAAACAACACAAGAGTACAAGCAATTTAGCAAATCTAATTCAAAACAGAGAAACCACTTCTAACTTTCTATTTCAAGTTCCAATAAATTGCTACTTACCAACAATTTTATCAACTGTATCATGATCATCAAAAGTTACAAAAGCAAATCCTCTTTTTTTCCCACTCTGCCTGTCTTCCATAACTTCTATGGTTTCAATTTTGCCATACTTTTCAAAGTAGTCTCTCAAATTATATTCTTCTGTATCTTCTTTAATACCACCAACAAAAATTTTCTTCACTGTTAGATGGGCACCAGGCTTTACAGAATCCTACAAATAAAATACACCAAGTCAAATAAACAATTTTTCACAACAATTTCACATATTACACAACACATTTTAAAAATACCTCTCTAGAAACAGCTCTCTTTGGTTCCACTACACGCCCATCAACCTTGTGTGGTCGAGCACACATTGCTGCATCCACCTCTTCAACACAAGAGTAAGTCACAAAACCAAAGCCCCTGGAGCGTTTTGTTTGGGGGTCTCTCATTACCTACGAAATAAAAAGTTTAAAACACTCAAACACCTCCACAGGTTCTCTACACTCCTCCCTAAGAATATTTTTGCTCCCTTAGCAACTTACCACGCAATCCGTGAGTGTGCCCCATTTCTCAAAATGTTCTCTTAAACTATCATCTGTAGTTTCAAAACTCAGACCACCAATAAACAGTTTTCTCAACTGCTCTGGTTCCTTTGGATCATGGCCCTAAGAAAAAGAACCAATATATTTAAATAATTTCTTATAGTAGGTGAATTGTTAAGAAAGACACATGAACCTTTAATCTATTATAATAAGATCAAATTCAGTTAAAAATGTGGACTTTGTTACATTAAAGGACTAAACAATGCCCAGGAAACCTATCAGTAACCTTTCAAATGCCAGCACCACTTCAACTAAATTTAATTCCAAAATAATCCCAGAGTCAGAAAAATTGCTTCATTTTAATGAGCTACAAGTGTCTGGGAACCATCACTTTAGAAGTTGCTAATGAGAATTCATTTTCTAAGCAACCAAGGTGTTGGAGAGGCAGTGTTGTATCCATCCCATTTCAAGTCTTCTCTCCTCAATCTACATTCCATCAAGTCTTTAATTAAAAACCATAAAACTGTAATAAAGTATAACTTAAATGTTTTGAATGGCAAATTTAAAGATATCCACCGTTTTCAGGCAAATCAACGTTCAAACAGGAGTTCCTATGCTAAACCACCATTTCCTCCCCAAAAAACTAAAGGAAAAAAGGTTTTTTACTTTTTATATTGGCTTTTTGTAACCTATATTTGTTATATGCTATAAAAAAATCAGCACTTTACAACGCCAATTTTAAAGACAAAACAAACTAGTAAGTTTGACTTACATTTGGTATAGTATACATTGCCTGAGCAGAAAAATTGGACAATTTAAAAATTGGAATTTTAAAAGAAATAAGGCCTGCGATTGTTAATACTTTAGTCAAAAGCTTTATAATAAATTGCAGGTGTTATTTAATGCATGCATTAAGATTTCGTTCATCCAAAATCCTTATATAAAGGGGCTCACATTTACATTCTAATGTCCTCCTGTGTCTTCTACAAATAGAGATGTTAAGGCATTTAATGTGAAGGGGCTGTTATGTGCTACAAAAAAAAGATGTTAAATAATTAAACTGCCCAAAGCTTTAATTCATATTGCCTCTTTTAGAGTCTTGAATAAATGTATTTGATTGGCAATACGCAGTCGACAAAAAGAATTTAGAACGCACCTAACATGGTAAGTAAGTGAAAATTTCAAATGTGGCTGCTGTCCTCTAAAACAAAAATCCAGGAAACTACAACCAGAGCCGACCCAAAGAATGGGAAAACATGGAAATCAAAAACGTTTTTAAGTTCCTAGATATCATCTACACTCAAATTCTAAAAATACCAGGTACCTCACCCACATGGCAATTTGAGAAGTATAGTTCTAAATACTTTAGCAAGACTGAAGATATTTTACAGCAGCAAACTTTTGAAAAACCTCGGATTGCCAACTGGATGCTGCGAAAAAAAAAGAACAGGCCGGAGAATTAACGAATTCTCGTCGCCGAAGATCATCTGCAAAGGTCTAGAAACACGCCGACAATAACTTCAGCGAGAGAACTAGGCCCCGGGCTTCGAGGCCGTTTGCGGCATTTTCTGCCAGGCCGCCTCCGCCTTCATCCCTCCAATCCCAGGCTCTCTTTCCCGGCGGCGGAGCCAGGCGGCGGCCATTGCGGGCCAATGCGCCATTTCGTAACGCGGCAGCGGATCAATGTCAATGTGGCCGCCGCCCGCCTGCTCGCTCGCCCGGATGTTCCTGCTCGTCCCCTCCCCTCCCCCACCGCCTCCTCCCAACCGCTCCCGCCGAGGCCCGCCATGCCGCCGAGGCCTCGCTTCCGAGGCCGCGCAACCGGCGGGCCGGCTCCCCTCCCGGGGCCTCCTCAGCCACGCCGCGCTTCCCAGGGGCCGCCTGGACAGCCCGAGGTGAAGACCAGGCGTGCAAGGGACCCCAAAGAGGCCTGAGGCCCGCTCCCCTCCCCCTCCCCCCGCCCGTCTCAACGCAGAGCGCGGGACGGCCGACTCGGTCCACCCGGCCTCCCCGCTCCCACCAAGCCAAACCCCCCACGCCGGCCACTGCCCATCAACCCCCCGCTCTCCCCCTAATACCTCCTCCCCCCGGCGGCGACGGCGACGGCCGGAGTCGGGCTGGGGGCGACCGGGCGGCGGTTTTACCTCCATTTTGAGACCGGACTCGCCTCTTCCAACTCGAGTTCAATATGGGACCGAGAGGAAGAGGCGGGGCCAGCCGTCACGTGACGCGCCTTCCGCGCGCCGCCGGCCTGGTGAGGGAGGAGCAAGTCGGGAAAGGGGCGGGGCTAAGCGTGAGGGAAGTGGGACTGGAGGAGCGGGTTGGCGGGCGGAGG